CTCTCTCTCTCTCTCTCTCTCTCTCTCTCTCTCTCTCTCTCTCTCTCCAGATAAAGCTACATAAGCTTTTGGAGTAATAGTGTGGAGAATCAGTGTAAAGTGGAGGTAACAGATAGCAGAATTGTAGTATTTAATTATGGGTGAGGCAGCTCCTTCAGAGACATTTCTATCTCCAGCTCAAATTGCACTGATTTATTTATTCATCAATCTATCATCTGTTTGTTTTTTGTGTGTATGTGTGTGAGTGTATGCTTGCACACATATGCCACAGTGCATGTGTAGGTCAGAGGACAACTAGGGCAAGTCAGTTCTCTCCCTTTACTATGTGGTTAGGTCATCAGAGTGATTGGCAGTCACCCTTACCTTAAGAGCCATCTTGGCTGGCCCTTGGTTGCTTTTTAGTTTATGTTTTGAGTATCTGATACACATCTTAAACTCAGAACCCTTGACCACCTTTGCTCCTAAGTAACCTGCAACTGGTAGATAGCTCTTTGGAGGACACCATTGTAGGTGATTTCTGTGCTTTCTTTCTCACTGAAAAATTTCTGAAGTGTCATGTTTTCCCTTCTCTCTGGAAAGCTCTGGGGTCTATTTTGCAACTGGACTCCAGAAAGCAGAAAAGGCAGCTGTGCACAAACGCAGTCCTAAGGTGTTGGAGGCTCTGCAAAAGCTGAACATCCAAGCTGACCAGGTGAGTGCAAGTGAGGGATCACACTGGTGGGACTGTCTGTGCTGTCCCTAGGCTCTGCAGCTCAGCTACTCTAGGATGAACAGGAGAGTGACTTACCCTACTAGAGCAGTAACATGGGACATTTCACGCCATGAAAGCAGGGACTTAGATATGCTCTTGTTGTTTACACTGTCCATTAATTGTCCTTCTTCCAATGCCCAGGCTCCAGTCATTGCTGTCTTGGGCTCTGGTGGGGGGCTGCGGGCCCACATTGCTTGTCTTGGTGTGCTGAGTGAGATGAAAGAACTTGGCCTGTTGGATGCTGTCACGTACCTCGCAGGGGTCTCTGGGTCAACTTGGTAAGTGTTGAGTTTGGATGCAAGGATATACCATGTTTTCTGCTATCAGAATGAGATGGTGTCTTCCTCCAGTCACCAAATACATGCTGCCTTTGATTTTCCTTTTCTTAAGTGGACAGATGATAATTGTTTATTTCATGCTGTATGGTGTGATATTTCAGTATAGCATTTGTTGTATACTGATTAGTTGTATTTTTATTCCTCTTAATGTAACAAAATATCAGACAAAAGCAACTTAAGGAAAGGTTATTGATTCTTACCTTCAGAACATTGTCATGGCAAGAAGGGCCCTATGTGAATCAGAGAGAGAGGTGTGCTGGTTCTCAGCTCAGCTTCTATTTATTCAGTCTGAGTTCAGCCTGGGAAATGCCATGATAACATTCAAACGATATCTTCTCACCCACTTTAAATGTCTCTGTAAACACTGTCACAGACACCCAGAGATTTGTCACTGTTTGTGGGGTGTTGGGTTGTGTGGGCTATGCATGCTTATGTGGAGAAATGTTGATGCTAGAACAAGGCAGGCATCAAGTCTTTCTCTGTTGGTCTTTACCTTATTGCTGTGAAACATAGCCTCTTAATGAGCCTAAAGCTTATTAAGTATTGCCCAGGCTGGATGTAGGATCCACCTGTGTGTGCTCTTCAGTGCTACAGGTACAGGCAGGTTTATCCATGCATACTTTTAAAAATTATTATTAGTTTAAAATTTTCCGAGACAGGGTTTCTCTGTGTAGCCCTGGCTGTCCTGGAAGTCACTCTGTAGACCAGGTTGGCCTCAAACTCAGAAATCTTCCTGCCTCTGCCTCCCAAGTTCTGGGATTAAAGGCGTGCGCCACCACTGCCCAGCTCCCCATGCATATTTTTTACATGAGTATTGGTGATTCAAGCTCAGGTCCTATGCTTGCATAGCAAACACTCTTATTTTCTCAGCCTTTTCCCATGCCCAAAGTTCTATTTTAAATAGTTTATCAGTTGTGCAACAGAAGGGGTTTTGTTATATTTTCATAACATGTATAATGTAATTTTTTGCTCATATCAGGCTCTCTATTACTCCATTTATCTCCTTCTGCTTCCTACTCCACTGCTGCCTCATTTCTAGGGTTTTACAGGTTCAACAGCAGTGTTTATTTTCTAGGTCGATGGAATACCACACCTATGATCTTAATGAGAGACTATTGTGTTAAATCTATGTAGGACTTTCTTATTCTAAAGGGCTCAGAAGCACTCGTGCCTTATAGCTTTATTCTGAGCCCTGGGCAGGCATTTTTAATCACTCTTTGCACCTCCTGATTCCAAGCTCAGGGCAGATATTGATAATCAGTCTTGGAGCTTTTCAGTTACAGATACAACTATTCAAGCTTTTGAACTAAATATGTGGAGAACGAATGGATGTACATGGAGATAACAGATAGCAGAGATGTAGTAGTTAATGGTGAGGCAGCTCCTACAGAGACCTACAGGTTATTGTCTCTCTTTACTAAAGAAAATACTCAAGAAAAGTAACTCAAGGAAGGAAAGGTTTTTCTGGTTCAATTTGCGGAGGTATGGTCCATCCTTGTAGGGAAGGCATGGCAGCAGGAACATGAAGCAGCTGTGTCACTGACATGAGAAGAACAGCAATCTGGTAGGATTCTAACATTACATCATTATGTATTTCTTCCATCTTGCTCTCATTGGCCTATGTATTAAGTAAAAGAATCATACAGAGGCTGCGTGAGTTGTCCATGTACTCCAGTCCTTTGTTTACCATCCCTAACTTCCTTCTTGACAGTTAGTCATCCTTTACCTGGTTTGTCGTCAGGGAAATAGAATCAATGGCATCCTTGCTCATCCCCTCTCTAGCCTTCATGGCCCAAAATTCTGATCACCAGCCTATCACCTCTCTTTGTTTCCAGGGCACTGTCTTCATTCTACACCAAGAATGGAAATATGGAAGGGATAGAAGAAGAGCTGAAGCATCGGTATGAGAAGAATGAGTGGGACTTTTATGAGAGCCTGAAGAAAGCCGTTGAGGCATCAAGGAGGGATAATTACTCCCTGACTGACATTTGGGCCTATTTGATTGTTTCGAGACAAACCAGAGAAGTAAGTCATTCCCAGCAGAGAATGTGGGATTCCAAACAGCTTCATCAACCTCCTCTTTCAGATCATCCAAATCTGGGCACTTAGAGCTTTTACCTCCAGACTAAAAATATCCCAGGGCTGATTGGTTGGAAGAAGAAGAATCAGGCTCTGACTCGTTTGTGCAGTAAAATATGTAGAAAGTATTGGAAACATCTAGGAACATGCAAAGCCAAGAGGTTCTAAGGAACCCGTTTTTCGATCTGTCTCACTGGTCATTTCTTCTCTTAAAGTTACTTTCCTCTTTTTGTATTCAGATTTTATTCTTTACCTCAGAAAGAATGGAGTTTTCTGCATCTCCACATTCTTAGTAGGAAATATTTCCCCCAGCCCCAGAGTACCACTGTGGTCACCTGTAGACCCTCTAGTTAGCTGGCTCCAGGAGCCAACCTCAGATTGTCTGAGCATATCACCTGATCTGTTTAATTCATATCAGATGGCTATTATGATCCAAATGCCTGTGACTACCAGATTGAATACATCATGGCTGCATTCCTCATAAGAGAGTCAGGATGGCAGTGGGAAGTCATTCCCAGATGAGTTCTTTCTCCAGTGGATTTCTTCTTATTTTTACAGTTAAATTATATTGAGTTGAACATTGTCCCATTCTTAGAAATGAGAGGGACAGACATCCTGAACTCTGAGATTGGCATAAAAATAGAAAAGAAAATTGGATGTTTTCAATGATACTGTTAGAATTTCTTCCAGACTGTGGGTCCTAGGGGAACAGATGTTATTTAGAAATGTCAAAGTGGACCAGATACCCACAGTATACTTCTTTTACCCTTATCTCTCCCTGCATTCCTTTCCCTCTTGCTTTCTTCTTACTATCCTTTGTGTCAGTCCTACTCTTCTCTATCTCTCTTAAAATTATTTTTATTTTATTTACATATGAGTATTTTACCCACCTGTATGCTACATGCATGGAACCAGTAGAGGGCACTGTATTAACTAGATTTACAGATGGTTATGTGCTCCCTCATTGGTCCTGGAATGGGTCCTCAAAAAATGCTCATATTCTCTGAGACATCTTTCCAAACCTTTCTCTGTCCTCTCTCTTTCCCATACCCCCCCCTCTCTCTCTCTCTCTCTCTCTCTCTCTCTTATCCCTAGTTTGTTTCTCTTTCCCCCTTCTTCCCTTCCTCCTTCCCTCTCAAAGTTTAACTTTTTAAGCTTTGTTGAAATATAACTGAAATGGACAGAGTTGAACACATGAATATATTTCAAGAACATTTTGAGAAGTTTGGACTCATGCACTTACCTGTGAAGTATCTCATGATCAAAGTGCTAAGCGTATTCATCTCCTGCAGAAATTTGTTGTTATTCTTGTGGTTTGTATGTGTGTGTGTGTGTGTGTGGTGGATGAGAAGAATACTTTACATGACATCTATCCCCTTCAGTTATACTAAGTGGCACAGGCCAGTCATATGATTCCACTTTGAGGCATCTAAGATAGTAAAACTCACAGAAATGGAGAAAAGAACACTGGTGTTCAGTGCTTTGAGACAGAGGCAGATGAGCACTGTTGCTTGAAGGAGGATGAAATTCTGCCAAATGAGAACTGAACTATTGTTATAATAGTTCAGTGAAGAAAGACACTGCAGTCAAGCCTGAAGATCTAAGTTTGATTTGTGGAAACTGCATGCTATATGGAGAACTGACTCCTGTATGTTGTCCTCTGACTTCTACACATGTGGGAATAGGTTTCCTAGATTAGGAAGAAAGAAAGAATATTCCAGAACTTGGTGCACAGTGTACAAAGATTCTACCCAGTTTGGAGAGACAAAACCCTATTCTAAACAATGTGCTTCTACTCCATTCAGTCTGGGTGCTGTTTTTTTTTTTCTCCAAAGTTTCAGGATTCGAATTTGTCCAGCCTAAAGAAGCAAGTGGAAGAAGGAGTGCTGCCCTATCCCATCTTTGCAGCCATTGATGATGACCTTCAGGCTGATTGGAGGGAGAAAAAAACTCAGAGTAAGCAAAAAATTGGAGGGATGTAAAGGTAGCAAGGGAATGAAAGGCACTGAGAAAGGAATATATGTATGGATAAGTGGAATGTATGAATGTTTCCCCAGACTTCCTCTTGGGAGGCCCAGAAGGAAAGGACTCATGGAAAAGTGGCTTTCAGGGTAGGATGCTCAGACCATAGAAGAGCAAACAGCAGTCTTAAAAACCACCAGAGGGCAGACACTTGTTTTGGGTGAGGAAGGAAGCTCTAATGTGGGCTAGGTGTGAGGCCCAGATTGGTGATATAGTGGCATGACTCTTTACTACTTACCTGTCATCTTCTCAATGGTTCTAATAACTACCCTAGTGCTGGTGGTTTCTTAGTGTCCTATTCGTGTTTCAAGCCACAGTCTTTGCCCTGGGATTAAGAACTTTTCATCCAATTTACTTAATATAAAATGCCTTTATTTGTTTGATGAGTATGTCCTTGTTGCTCAGTATCCATCAGGCAATGTTCTGGGTGCTCACTTACTCTAGCATTCTAAAGCTCAGATGTCCCTGGGGTTATTGCTCCATTTCTCTCCTCCTAGTGTGGGTCCTTGATAATGTAGTGCAAAGCAACCTAGGAATAAAGGGTTCATTTGGCTTACAATTCCAGGTTATGGCCATGGTTACAGGAAAGTCAAGTCAGGAACTCAGCATACCACTTCCACAGTCAAAAGCAGATATGTGGATCCTTATTTACTTGTGTGTTGTTGTTCCCCTCTTTATACTGATTCTGCCTAGGGATGTGTGACACTTACAATGGGTTGGATTTTTCCTTCTCAGAAATCAAGAAATGTTCTCACAGACATGCCCATAAACTATCTTGATCCATTAGTTATTAAAACCCTTTTTAGAAAGTATTCTGGGCTATGTCAGGTTGAAGGCTGAAAGTCATCAGCATAGTCCTTATATGGTTTTTCTACTGAAGTGGGTAGGGCTGACATCCTGTTTTTCATAAACCCTCCCCCAGCAGACCAGGGGTAAGGTTAATTTGGTCTTAACATCTGTCACTCCATTAATTATCAGGGTTGTTTTGACTAATGTGGATGGCTAGCCAGGATGTTCCTTTCATCCTGTCTACTCTATATGTGTTTCTCCTGAGCTATGTACAGGTTTGGAGAGGAGGGCCTTCACTCATAGAAGATGACAGATATTTAGTCAAGAATATATGAATAGCTGCACTCTCTCTAAACATCCTCTCAAGACCAATGAGACCTCTGGTCATCATGGACACAACCCTCCACATTGCAAACACTGTCTTCTTCATAATCCCAAGTACATCTTAGACCAAGTATCAGCACCTCTCTTGAGGGCTCTTGTAATTAGTTCCTCATTGACCTTTCTATACCATCTCATCTCCTTCTTCCATAGCTACCTGATGGAAGTTTCTAGAAGAAACATGGTCATGTGATTTTCCTTTGTACAATAAATAGTTCATAGTTCATCCCTTCCACAGTTCCAATAACTCTCATGTCATAATGTGTTTAGCGTCTTCATCATTACCACTTTCCAGAGTTTCAGCTCTTATGAAGTGGAAGGAAAGGGAGGATATGAGGATTCCATATTGGGACAGTAATAGAAACAGAGTTCTCTTGAAATAATGACTCATTTCCATCTGAATAGGCTCTCAGACACATGGGAAAGGATCCCCAATAATTTGAGATCAGTCGGCCTATCGCTATATGGTAGTTTCTTGGTTGGCATTCCATAGTCTATGGATCCCCCACACTCAGCATCTGCTGTTTCAGGTTCAAAGTTTGTAGTTTACCTTCGTTTTGCCTCCCCAGATTCCTGGTTTGAATTCACTCCTCATCATGCTGGCTACCCTGCACTTGGGGCTTATGTCCCCATCACAGAGTTTGGAAGCAGATTTGAGAATGGGAAACTGGTTAGATCTGAGCCCGAGAGAGACTTGACTTTCCTAAGAGGTAAGTAAGGGATCAGATGGAATTCAGTGAAGATGGGAAGTGGATGTTGGACAAGAATGGCCTCCCAGAGATTCTAGCTCTGTCCTACTCCTTCATTGCTAGGAGAAAAGGAGCGGTATCTGGGTTTCCAGAGGAACACTTTAAGCATTTCTCAGGAACTCCCTTACCTGGCAGGTACCTGGCACCTTACTAAATGTTCAACGAGAAGGCTGAATCCAAGGCTACATCTTCTGATAAACAGGTTTAGAATGTGGCTACAGGAGTTACATGCAATCTCACATCTAAAGACCAGTGACCAGCATGTGCTAGGATTTCAAGGATAGTTATATATCCATTTATTTAGCAAATAGTTTTTGCTGTTCTTTGATACTGGGTCTTGTATATTTCATTTTAACCTTGAATCAAACCGTATGACTGAATCTAGTCTTGAACATTTAATTTTTCTGCATCCATCTTTCAAATACTAGGATTATAGGTGTGCACCACCATGGTCAGTGATCATATAATTTTGTGATACATTATGAAGCCTATCATGGATGCCTAGTTCTGCATTGATAGAAACAGAGGCAAGACTGGTATTTTTCTCCATCATCTTCCACTGAAAATGGAACTTTCATCTATTTAATCACTGAAGTAGGATCTTTTGATGCTTTTTATATATTTACAGTTTGGCTATAACTCCTATCTACTATTTCCAGGATTTTCACCCCTGAGCTACCATTGTCTTGGCATTAGAACAGCTAACCCCTGGACTGTTGTCCACATTCCAGTTCTGCCTCTGTCTATTATAGGCAAAAGGGTTGAAATATAATAATACAATCCTATTGGTTCACTTCAATTGCAAGAAGTCTTAGTTTTATTTCTCTTTTCTTTACAGGTTTATGGGGAAGTGCTCTTGCTGATATTGAAGAAACTAAGAAATATATTTTGGGTGAGTATTTGAGGGCATGCCAGGGACCAATCATAGAGATATTTCTTTTAAAGAAACTTCTCTGCACTTTGTTGTTAGAGAAAATGAAAGTAATGTCATTGTCCTGACATTACTGCTGTGTCTCAAGCCTCCATGAGGGCAGTCGGAATGATTGCAGAGTGGCTAGGTGCAGGGTGCCTTAGTTACATGTGAGCTCTGTTACCCAGCCTCTCTGTACCTCAGTTGCAACATCTACACCACAGTGATGATGACACCTGTAGTCGTAAGGATTCAGAGAGTGAATTCCTATAACATGCTCAGGATGAAGCCTGGTAGGTAAAAGCACTAGGAAATAATAGCAATTATTATCTGTCCTATTACATAATCCATAACACAATCCCTAGGATTGTGTGGATGGTACAATCACCTGAATTCAAAATTTTATTCGTTTTGCCAGGCATGGTGGTGTATACCTTTAATATCAGTATTCAGGAGGCAAAGGGAGGAGATCTCTGTTAGTTCTAGGCCAACCTAGTCTATATAGAGAATTCCAGGGCAGCCAGGACTAAATAGAAAGACTCTTAACAAATAACCAAACAAACAAAAAACAGCCCCATAACATTATTTTTTAAACGTGTATGGGTGTTTTGTCTATGTATTACGTGTGCCTGTGGCTGCAGAGACCAGAAGAGAGCATCAGACTCCATGGAATTGGAGTTAAACTTGTTTTGAACTGCCATAGGCCTGCTGGGAATTGAGCCTGGATCATTTGGAAGTGAATCATCTCTCCAGTCTCCATCTTGACCTTTTTTGTAGATAGTGACAGAGTTGTGAGAATGCTAAGTTCCTTCCCTGCTCTCACTCTCTAGTGAGCACTGATGTAGGAATGGGTGGCAGTTTGTGCCTAGACCCACATCACAGTTCTGATCAGCATGGTATCTACTTTGGCTAACCAAATGCTCTCTGAAAGAGTGCCTCCTCTAATGAAGACAACAGCATCCCCAGCCTCATGTGTTAGAGATGAGTTTTAAATGGCCTGATGTGTGTAAGGTTCTGAGAGCATAAGCCTGGATCATAGTAATAATGTATGACTAATATATAATAGCAGTAATGTAGCCAGACAGAATGAATCTACATCTTGGTTAGTGTGAAGGCAAAACCCACAGCCAAGTGGTGAAACAGTAGATGAAAGAGGCCTTACCAATTGCCACTGTGGGTAAGGAGAGTTAGTCCTTGACTGCAAAGTGATGCCCTCTTCAAACAAAGGAAGTGTGAGCACTTATTTGGAAAGGTTGTGAGTATTTATTTGGGAAAGCATTTCAGAAGTGGCCCATTTCTTGGCATATGTAATTAAAGATGAAGAGCTATAGTGGTAGCTTAGTGGTTAAAGCATTTGCCATGCAAGCATGAGGACCAGAGTTTGGATCTCCAGATCCTTTGTAAATACCTGATGGGCATGGCAGCCTGCCTGTAAATCCAGCCTTAGATGACAGAGGCATGGGAATCCTTCAAGTAAACTAGCAACTAATTTCTTTATTTCTTCGCTCTGGGTTTGATTGGGAGGCCCTGCCTTGATTGAATAATGTAGAAAGCAATAGATGATAATTTCCAGCATAAACAGCCTCTGTACATATACTACACTACACACACACACACACACACACACACACACACAAACACACACACTTACATGTAATGTTTACCTTCTCACACATATGTTCCTCTCATTTGGGTTACATCAATGATACACATAAAAATGGCACAAGGGAAAAAATAAGTAAAATGTCCACTATTGTGCATGCTCAGTTTAAGAGGGAACAATGGAAGTTGAGAATATATTTGGGTACCTAAAGCTTGGTTAAAGATGGCAGGCAGGAATGCTGTGGGTTTGCTTAGCTTTCATGGTAAAGATGGTTGGTTTCATCTAGTGCCACAGTGCTGGGAAGTTGTCTGATGACATTTTGTGAGCTGACCTTGTGTTAGGCCCTAACAAAACAAAATATTTCTTTCTCCAAGGTCTTAGTTACAGCAAAAGTAAAGAACATCCTGAAGGAGAATTATATATATATAGGATTCTCTTGACCTCCAAGGCTGCCTGCCTCAGTGTAACTGCTGAAAGTAATAAAAATTACTGAAAGATAACAATCCTAAGCATTCGTTCTTCACTTAATACCACTTACAACCAAACCATACTCTATGTTTTAAGAGTGCCCCTTCAAAATGACATTAATCATCTCTTGGTTAAAGGCAAATTCAATGAGTTTAGAGCTGGGTGTGTTGGTTCATACCTTTAATCTCAGCACTCCAGAGGTAGAGGTAGGTGGACCTCTGAGTTTGAGGCTAGCCTGGTCTACAGAGAGAGGTCTAAGATAGTTAAGGCTATACAGAGAAACCCTGTCTCAAAAACTAAGCAGTAAAAAAAAAAACCAAAGAAAAGAAAAAAAAGAGGGGGATATTTCTTTGTAGTCTCCCATTGGCTAAATTTGGAAGTTGCCTCATATTTTATTTTCTTAGTAGGTAAATTAGGCTTGCTCTTCAGAAGAAGTCTTGATTTGTAGTGATGTGTATTACCCCATCCAATTTCCAGTTACGAGTGTGAGTTCACTAGAGGCAGAGTTGGAAGAAAGGCATGGAGTTAGATCTTGAGAGTCAATATCAGCAAAGCTCCAGCCTACTGTGGCCAGTCCTACAAAGGAATAGCCATAGAGAAACTCACCTTAGATACACTCAATACAGGACTGGTAGTATGTGCCTGTGATCCCAGCACTTGGGAGATGGAAGCCGGAGGATCAGGAGTTCAAAGTCATCCTCATTTTTGTAGTGAGTTTTAGACCAATCCAATCAATATAAAATCATGTCTTACATACCTCAAAAGAAAAATAAAATATTCAACACCATAGCCAGGGTCTGTATTGTACAGATAAACATTCTGCATTTTTACCCTCTTGCAGACAGTTTAAAGGACCTGCTTCGACAATGGAGGCAGGAACGTCCACTTATGGGAGAAAGTCAGATTATGGGAGGTAAGCACCCTGCTTGTTGTAAATCACTGATGAGACCATGTATGAGATGTTGTATATGCCAGTCATGTGTCTCAAAATGTCACATTTATACTTATTGTCACCTTATGAAGTGCTATTCTTACCTCAACTGTGCAATGTGCTCTGTGTGTGTGTATTTGTACGTATATGTGTGATGCATGTATATATGTATATGTGTAGAGGCCTGAAGATGATGTCTGGTGCCTTGTTCTATCACTCTCTACAGTATGTGAACAGGGAGTTTATTAATAGGGCAGACTGACTGTCCGAGAAGCCTTCAGGATGTGCATGTGTGCACCATCACTGCTGGGATTAGAGTTGTATGCCCCTTTAGTGGATATTGGAGATCAACGGATCCTAATGTTTGAGTAGTCTATAGAATTAATAAATTCCATGTTCACACAAGGTAGAAAAAGTGATAGAAAAAGGGTCTAAACACACACACACACACACACACACACAGAGAGAGAGAGAGAGAGAGAGAGAGAGAGAGAGAGAGAGAGAGAGAGAGAGAGAGGAGGGAGGGATCCTTAATGTTCCTGGAACCTGTAATGGGGGAGAATAAGAAGCCCTATCTTGAGTGTTCATGTGCCACATTGAATGAGGGAGGTGGGCTAGTGGGGTAGTTGCCAGCCAAGTGGGCCTAGGGGAACCATTCAGGTTATAAGGAATTGCTGATAGAAGCCTTTGCAAGTAAAACACATGGAAGCTGGCCTAAGTTCAACTGTAGTGTCAGGAAAAGAGACTTTGCTGAGGGAAGGCAATGATAGTAGTGCCACCTTCTTGTTGGTGGCATTTTTATTTTTTAGCCGGGGCTGGAATAGTGACATACTCAGAAGCACCACGGATGGAGGTGGATGAAATGCTCTTGGATTTAATGATGGCTTGTGTCACAGATCAGAATGACACCAGCATCAAGGATAAGCTTTGTGCCCTTCAGCAGGCTTTGGGTACTGAGACAGGTTTGTATGTGAGGACACACTTGCAAATTCCTGTGAAGATGCTAAGGGGTTAGAGAGCATAAGGAAATTGTGTGTGGGGGTGGTGGGGGTGGTCATGGACAAACAGGCAGGTGGCCTGCATGAAGATGTGGCCTTCTTTTCTCCTTCACTGTCCCTTCTACAATTGAATGTGTGTGCCAGTAAGACCTGATGCCCTGGTACTTCCTGAGTTTTCATAGGCTTCCCTAAATGATGGAATGCTTTTTTTTTCCCTCAGAGGAAATTGCTCTATGACACAGCCACTGCCAGGTCACCATAAGAGATAAGATAGATTAGGCTAAACAGTGGTTGTCAGTAGGTGGTACATGTCTGTCCTGAGCAGGTAATCAGCTGGGTTTCTTGGGGCAGATGAGTTTGACAAAGAGATGGCTGAGATCATCCAGAGTTGGAATGAGACCTCTCCAGAGAAGAAGCAGCAGTTTGTGGACCATCTGTTGGATTACTTCAAGAAGACACAAGAGCCCATCACATACAGTTTGATGAACCAGATCAAGGGTAAATGCTAGCACCCTCAAGTGCTCTCTTGTCCCCGCTGGTGTCCATTTCATTTTCTTACCCCTGTGACAAATTACATGGCAGAAGCAACTTAGATTGCTTCATTTTGACTCACAGTTTGAGGACATTTTGTTTACTATAGGCTTGTGAGGAAGCAGATAGAGGGGGGTGAGAGGGAGAGTCAGGAGAAGGAGGTAGACAGATAGAGTACAGAGAATGTCTATTTTTGGGTATAGTCTGTGGGTCTTCCACACTCAGTTAAAACTCTGTCACCTTGGAGGTCAGTGTTTTACCATAGGACTTTGGAGAAGTGATAGCATGTACCATCCCGTGATGCTTACTTTGTACCTTTTGATTTCTGTTTCCAGGTTCACTTTGGGACTATTATTATTTTCTGAAGGGAACTTTCAAGTGTGTTTACAACTGGTGGTGGGGAACTGTTTACAACTTCCTCTATAAACATGGTGAGAATGTTTCTCTTTTCGTCTTCCTAATCTCTCATTGGCTGGAGTAGGCTGTGGAGAACCTGGGGTGATCTCAGCTCATTCCTGTCCTGGAAATGCAGGAGTGGGCATGGTGCTCACTGGACAGAGTGCCGGAACTTCTCCATTGTAGTGGTTTACAGTGAGAGACACACAGTCTTTTCAATATCAGTAGAAGGCATGGTAAAGTTCTGGAAATGTGGGTGTTTTTCTCCAACTATGAAAAGATATAGACATCTGTTATTTTTTCCTTTCTTGATCTGACATCCTTCATTTATATAGAATACATACTGGCTTCTGGGGTACTCTAAAGCTGCTTTATAGATTTCAACAATGTTTGTCTTCTTGTTGTATGAATGTCCTCTTTCCAGACTATACCAGTTCCCAAACATTTAAAGTTCATCCACCACTCTTTTGTGATAACACTACTTACCACGAACATCTTTGTGTGTCTTGATACCTTTTTAGCTTAGAAAAAGGTGAGTTCCCTAGGAAGATGAGTTCCACAATGTTGTTAGTTTGGTCAGTAGCATACGTGCCTTGAGAAGTTACGTCACTCTGTTTTCAATGGTTTTAACAAGATACTCCAGGCTGGGTTCTTTATAAAGAAAAGAGGTTTATTTAACTCATAATATTAGAAGATGAGATGGCCCCATCTGATTAGAGTGCTACTGGTTGCAACATAATGTGATGGAGGAGCCACATGTACAAGGGACTTAGTCACGGATGGATGGGACTAATGGTATAAATATTTTTGCTCTTTCCAGAGTTAATTCGATGGAACACAATTGCTTCTAAGGCTGGTGCTTCCACCTTCCACTAAACCCCTTCTCTTAAAGGTTCCTCCATCTCTACACTTCACACTGCTGACCATGCTTCCAGTGCATTAGTCTCTGAGGAACACACTCAAATCATGTCTAGACAGTAGCAGACATGAACTCTAGCTGGAAATGGATACCTGCTCATGTTTCTGACACAACAGCTCTGTCTGAACAAACTGCTTCCTATACCTACATTCTGGCCGTAGATTAGACAAATTCTTTTTCTGGATTTAGATAACATTGAAAATAAGGCCATGTGCAGCCGGGAGTTTCTCCATCTGGTGGACGCTGGTTTGGCCATCAACACTCCTTACCCACTTGTTCTGCCTCGTGGAGCTCACCTCATCCTCTCATTTGACTTCAGTGCTGGGGACCCATTTGAGGTAATAGAAAAGAAACTTTTATGTATTTGAGATGGCCTTGTGCAGCAACAGGGCTGTGCAGAAAGAAACTCAGGCTCTGGCTGTGAAGTGGGTATTGGGCAGTTGTGGTCTCGGTGCACTACAGCATGCATGCATCCCCCAGTATCATGCATGGACACACATAAGTATCATACACTTAAAAACCTGTAAGATTCTTGCAGGCTAGGAAGATGGCTCAGCAGATAAAGGTGCTTGTTGCTAACCTGAGTTCAGTCCTCTAGACAGACTCATGTGATGGATGTCATCACACACACACATACACACACAGGAATATAGGGTTAGGGTTAGTGAGCCACACTTACATAATAGGCATTTCTTATGAAATGCATACAAAAACTTAAAAGTATAGTTATATTTGATCAATCTCAGATCATCAAGCTTAGTGGCAAATGTCTATACCTGATTACCCTTATTGCTACTAGGTAAAGATTTATGTTTTATATTTATGTTTCTCTTGGCAGATTGCCATTGCTAGATCTGAAGTGTACCTCAGATGCCATGTTTTCAGAACGTGGTTCTTTGGTGCAGAGGTTGGGGAATGCTAGACCACTGAGGAAATGCAACTAGTGTAATGCAATTGCATCTTCCTAATGTTGTGACCCTTTAATACAGTTCCTCATGTTGTGGTGACTCCCAATCATAACATTATTTTTGTTGCTACTTCATAAATGTAATTGTGATACTGTTATGATTCGAATGTAAATATTTGTGTTTTATGATAGGCTTAAGTTTTCCTTGTGAAAAGGCCATTCAATTCTCTAATGGGTTGAGTCCCACAGATTGAGAACCACTGGTCTTTTGGGATGTCTGTAGTTCTTGGGCTTCTTTTCTCAAAGGACAGCAAGATACTTTTTCCTTCAGTTCCCTGACTTATGACATTAGTAGTTTTGCGCTGTCATACACTTCTACTACTTGGCCAACTGATCATGGCCTGAAAGCCCTTCTTTTTTTCTTTGTAAGCTGATTGTCTTTGGTGTTCCCTACAGCAGTGGAAAACTGACTGACTTACTTCTGTTTTAATAATCAGGCCATTTAAAAGGAATTTTGTGGCCAACTTTCCATTTCTGTTATCAGTACTGGAAACTGGCTATGTCACCATTTAACTCTCCCAGTGAGGTAGATGTTAAAGAGTCTCTCAGGGAAGAAACTAGCTTGGCTTGTTCTGAACATCTGACCCATGGCCAAGCATTAGATGGACTTGTGGAAGAGTTAGGGGAAGGACTGAAGGATAGGTATTCCACAGGAAGCCCAATACAGCCAAATAGCCTGTACCGCTGGGAGCACCCAGAGACTGAACCAACCAAAGAGTGAGCATGGACTGGACCTATAACCCTCTTCTTCCCCCTACATATGTAGCAGATGTACAGCTGGATTTTCATGCAGGTCTCCCAAGAACTGGAGCAGGGGCTGTCTCTGAATTTGTTGCCTGCTCCTTGTCTGGGCTCAGTGAGAGATGATACCTGTAGTCCTGCAGTAACTTGATGTGCAGTGTGTGTGTGTGTGTGTGTAATACCTAGGAGGTGTTCCCTCTTTTCAGAGGAGAATAAGGAAAGGAAGTGTGAGAGGGACTGGAGGTTCTGATATTGGGATATGAAGTGAGTAAAGAAATAAATTAATAAAAAACAGGAGTCTCTCGGGGAGGAAATAAGATTGACTGATTTTGAATATTTGTGGGTGTCCCCTCATCTGAGCACATTGACTTTCATACAGACCCCAAGGTTATTCTTAACCATTGCAGAAACCGTTTATTGACCCTCACTGAATGCAAGGTATCATCTGTACAAACCAAACCCAATAGTAATCATGCCCTGTACAGCCTACTCCTGAGTTATTTGCTGAGATTACAGTGTATCTCAAGGCCACTTATTTTCCCCTTCTCAGACCATCAGGGCCACAGCAGACTACTGCCAACGCCATGAAATCCCCTTTCCTGAAGTGAGCGAGGATCAGCTGAGGGAGTGGGCAAAAGCCCCAGCGAGCTGCTATGTCCTCAGAGGGAAAACAGGACCGGTTGTCATGCACTTTACTCTGTTCAACAAAGACAACTGTGGAGGTAGGTGTGTGAGCAAAACAGAGTAAGGAGTCATGGGATTAGGCTGGCAGTGCTATATCTTTGGGATATCTGGTCCACCTTTCAACATCTAAAGCTCAAGAGAGTGAATAGTAAACCTCATACCGTCAACCCCGCAGCCTCCAAAAGGGTGTCATATTTTAGTTTCTCTTTAGGGCCTTTCTGTCTGTTGCCTCTTTTTATTGGGACATTCGTGTCCTAGCTGGATGTCTTGTTTCTTCCACCTAGGCATCCACATTCGTTATACAGTCCTGGATGAACAATTGTAGATGTGGCTCAGCATGTACCCTGGAAATCCTGTTAGTCTCAGCCCTGCTATTTTCCAGACTGGACTCTCTGGGCCTCTCTACCACTCTGTCTTCAGAGTGGGTTTCCTTATAAAGGATATAGTATAAAGCCTATCTTTTTTCTTTCTATAGATAAGGTCTCACTATTATCACCCAAGGTAACTTTGAACTCAGGATCCCAGTCCCTCAACTTTCATTATTTATTATTATTATTAATTATTATTATTTACAGTCTAGTCTAGTCTTATCTCTCTCCCGGTCTGCCCTCTGACTGTTCCTCATCCCATTCCTTTTCTCCTGTCTCCAAGAGGATGTCCCCCTACTCCCAAATCTCCTCATTCCCTGGCACCTCAAGTCTCTGGAGGGTTAGGTGCATTTTCTCTCACTGAGGCCAGACCAGGCAGTCCTCTGCTGTGTATGTGTTGGGGACCTCAGACCAACTGCCTGGTTGGTGCCTCAGTGTCTCAGAGATCTCAGGGGTCCAGGTTAGTTGAGACTGCTGGTCTTCCTATGGGGTTGCCCTACTCCTCAGCTTTTTCCAGCTTTTCCCTAATTCAAACCCAGGGGTCCCTGGCTTCTGTCCGTTGGTTGGGTGTAAGTATCTATATCTAACTCTTTCAGCTGCTTATTGGGCCTCACAGAGGGCAGTCACGCTAGGCTCCTGTCTGTAAGCACAACATAGTAGTAATAGTGTCAGGCCTTGGAGCCTTCCCTTGAGATGGATCCTAATTTGGGCAGGTCACTGAACCTCCTTTCCCTCGGTCTCTTCTCCATTTTTGTCCCTGCAGTTCTTTTAGACAGGGACAATTCTGGGTCAGAGTTTTTGACTGTGGGATGGCAACCCCATCTCTCCACTTGATGTCCTGTCTTTCTTCTGGAGGTGGACTCTACAAGGCCTCTCTCCCCACTGTAGAACATTTCATATAAGGTCCCTCCCTTTGAATCCTGAGAATATCTCATCTCCCAGGTCTCTGGTACATTCTAGAGAGTCCTCCCACCTCCTACCTCCTGAGGAGGTTTACATTCTTTCTGCTGGCCCTCAGGGATTCACCTTTTCCCCCTGGTCTCCCCAATATCTGATCATGTTCCCCCTTTCTTCTCCCTCTTTCTTCTTTTCTCCAGGTCTCTCCTTTCCCCTGCCGTTGCTTTCTTCTCCCGCCCAGTTGGGACTGAGGCATCCTCACTTGGGCTCTTCAGATTGTTAACCTTCTTGAGTTCTGTGGATTCTATCCTGAGCATTCTGTACTTTTTTGACTAATATCCACTTATTAGTGAGTACATAACATGCATGCCCTTTTGGGTCTGAGTTACCTCACTCAGGATATTTTCTAGTTCCACCCGTTTGCCTGCAAAACTCATGATGTCCTCTTTTTAAATAGCTGAGTAATATTCCATTGTGTAAATGAACCATGTTTTCTGTATCCATTCTTCCTTTGGGGACATCTGGGTTTTTTCCAGTTTCTGGCTATCATAAATAAGGCTACTATGAACATAGTGGAACACATGTCCCTGTGGCATGGTAAGCCATCTTTTCGGTATATGCCCAAGAGTGGTATAGCTGGGTCTTCAGGTAGATCTATTTCCAGTTTTCTGAGGAACCTCCAGATTGATTCTCAGAGTGGTTGTCGAAGTTTGTAATCCCACCAGCAATGGAAGAGTATTCCTCTTTCTCCACATTCTTACCAGCATCTGCTGTCACCTGAGGTTTTGATCTTAGCCATTCTGATTGGTTGTGAGCCACCATGTGGGTGCTGCAAACACAGTCCATGTCTTCTGGAAGAGTAGCTATTATATCTAACTGTTGAGCTATTTCTTCAGCCCTCTTTTAAAACAAATATTCATTATTCTCTTGTATCAGCCATAGCTCCAGATAATACAGGTTAATATGGAAAAGGAAACATTCTCTTTGTGAAGGTATGAATAATAGATAGTAAAACATATGCTTCACTTCATAAAGCAGTGTAAACCAGAACCTCTTTATTTATAGCAGCCGTATGGTGGGCCAGCTGGATTTGGGGTACAGAAATACTTTACCATTCTTGTACATAAATGGACACAATCTTAATTTGACGTGTTTTTCTTGGTTTGGTTCTATTTCAGATGACATTGAGACATGGAGAAAAAAATATGGGACAATGAAACTATCTGACACATACACACCAGACCTGGTGACAGATTTGCTGAGGGTATCCAAGGAGAATGTGCAGAAAAACAAAATTAATATCCTCAATGAGATGAGGAAGGTGGCTGGGTGAGTGTTGGGCTACAGCTGTTTTGACTTCTGAGTTGGATCTAGTTTCAGAGCTAAGTTTTAGTAATCTGGTGTGAGGGTTGTGGGTATGGTTGGCAATTGATGTCTACCTCAGTGAGTGGCAGAGGCTTTGCCTTAAGGGTAGCGTGTTGCGGGAAGTATTAGAAAAATTCAGCTAGCTCCTGCTCTAAGTTCCTGCACTAATGGCGGCATCAGCTGGCCAGTGATGTCGACCCAGGACCCAGGAGATGCTGGCGTTTCTGTTGCCTCTACTGATCAGCTTTATGGCCTCCACAACTCTAGGCATGGCTCCTGGGCCAACTCTGCCACCCCTATTCGGTAGATAAAACAATTCCCAGTACCCAGTAGAAATAAGACTCTTAATGGTTAAGATTAACCAATGGATTTATATATCAGCAAATACTCAATCTGCAAGATGCCCACACAAATTGGAATTGTTATCCCAATTACTTAACCTTGATATGAATATCTACCTGAGACTGCTAGAGACATGAGTGTGACATCCACAGCCATCTTGCCTCCCCTCTTCCCTCTCCCTCTCCCCCAAACTTTTAAACTCCACCTCCCTTTCTACTGCCCAATCACTGGCTCTAGCCTTTATTTTACAAATTAAGGTGGGTAGAAGGTTCACAATAAGCCACCTAAATACCATTCACTCCTTGTCTGCAGCCCCACAGGGAAAACGGACTTAGCATTAAAATACAAGACCAGGGCTATCCACAACAGTAGAGCCTCTGCCTAGAATCCCTTAGAGAGGTAGAACTCTAAGTGGTAGAACTCTTGTCTAGAATCCACCTGGAAGTGTTGATGATATGGCTCAGTGATAAGGCCCTGCCTAGAATTTCTCAATGAGGTGCTGGGGGTGTGACTCAATGGTAGCGTACTTGTTTAGTATATATGAGACCATGGGCTTCATCCTCTGTCCAATAAGTAGAAAATTATGTGACGAGATAAACCACTCTTCCCACTTTAGCTTGCATCTGTGTAGGGGAAAAGAAAATGAACAGTGCTGAAGCAAGTGGCTTCCTGATAATGAAAGCAGCATGAACTAGATTGCTATGGCTGTTGAGGCTGCCTAGGGGGCCAAATGACTGAGGATTTTCCAATAACCAAAGTGTATTCACTGAATGACCACCCGATCACAGCCTTTGACGACTGACAGTGAGTCCTCACTCATTGCTGGTCCCAGAAATGTCTATCACATGATATTCAGAGATGCTTTTCATTCTACTCTCAGGAAACCTGGGAATTTCCCAAGGGTCAACAAAGAGGCCTGCTTGCAAGACACAGTGCAGGATGTCCAAGGCTCTCAGACTGTGGAGATCAAGATATCCCACAACATACATAAGGATTAACGATCTCTTGTAAGTTCCATCTTTGTCTTGTCCTCCTATATCCTGACCCAAAACATCCCCATGTCCCATATGTGATCAGTGGGTATTCTGTAGAAGCTTCTAGTTCAGAGCCAAGGCTTAGTATGTGATGGCAGATCAGATTGATGCAGGCAGAAGCTTCTAGTTCAGAGCCAAGGCTTAGTATGTGATGGCAGATCAGATTGATGCAGCCAGAAGCTTCCAGTTCAGAACCAAGGCTTAGTGTGTGTTTTAGTTAGGGTTTTATTGCTGTGAACAGATACCATGACCAAGATGAGTCTTATAAGAACAACATTTAATTGGGGCTGGCTTACAGGTTCAAAGGTTCAGTCCATTATCATCAAGGCAGGAACATGATGGCATCCAGACAGGCATGGTGCAGGAGAAGCTGAGAGTTCTACATCTTCATCTGAAGGCTGCTCGCAGAATACTGACTTCCAGGCAGCTAGGAGTAGGGCCTTAAAGCCTATGCCCACAGTGACACACCTACTTCAATAAAGCCAAACCTCCAAATACTGCCACTCCTTGGGCCAAGCATATACAAACCATCACAGTGTTTGATGACAGGTCAGATTAATGCAGCCAGAAGCTTCCAGTTCAGAGCCAAAGCTTAGTTTATGATGGCAGATCAGATTGATGCAGCCAGTTTGAGACTCAGCTTCTCCTTTATAAAGATTTCACAGCGTGTGTGCTTATAGTAGGTTAAAGTAAGCTTGTAATTATCTTAATTTTAAAGTTTGATTTGTTTATCTCATATGCATAAGTATTTTCCTATGCATATATGCATGTGCACCATGTGTGCTGTAGATGTTCAAGAGGGCCTTAAATTTCCTTGAACTAGAGTTACATATGGTTGTGAGCTGCTATGTGTGTGCTGAGAATCAAACCTGCATCCTCTGCAAATGCAGTAAGTGCTCTTTGTTGCTGAACCAACACTTCTTTTAAAAATGTAATACTCTTTCTTTTGAGAATTTCTTACAAGTATATGATGTATTTCAATCATAGTCTGAAGAACACCCTCCAATTCTTCCCAGATACCTCAAGGTCTTCCTTCAGACATAATGTCACATATTTTTAATAACCCATTGAGTTCATTTGGTGCTCTGGAGAAGTTGTCAATTTGTAAATAGCTCCCCCTGTGGGGGTGTGTGATTCAGTGCCCCTCCCTAACCCATTAAGGCTGTTGAGTGGCTTGATCTTGTGCAGGTACCCCCAGATGCTGTGAGTTCATGAATATAGCAGCAGTCCTATACAAAATGAGCTTATCTTTTGAGGACCTGCTCCTTCTCTCAGACTCTTGTGGTTTTCTTTAACCTGGAAGGAGTTGCCACTGTTTTGATGGAGGGACCTTCCTCCCCACAGTGGGCAGCATGTTACATGGCAGAGCTGAACACAGTTTCTCACAGCTGCCTCTGCTCACAGGCAGTGAACTTGGTTTTCTTGTTACCAAGCACTTAAATGCTGAACTGGGTGAATCAGGGTTGGAGAGCACAGGAAAGAGTGCTAGACATGTAGTCTGTGGTGTCATATAAAGAATTCCATATACAAGGGAACCACATGCGAAGAACTGGAGTAGAATGACTTGACCTGTTAAATAAGCAGGAAGAAAGATGTTATTGGTGGCTCAGCGTGAAGATGCAGAAAACATGGAATGAAATATGATGTAGATTCTGACAGGTCTAATATTTGATGTAATAGTTAGCTCTTTTCTTGGATCTAAGCAGTTGACCTGGATCTGAACAATTGGTCCTAGACTTGACATCATTAGATAAACAAATACTTACACAATAAGCGTAGTTAGTGGGAATGCCCCTTAAGCCATGGAGGTGGGATTGGATCTAGGTTTTCTTGTAGAAGAAGTAACTGTCTTGTTTAAACTCATGTAGTGGGCTGTAGAATGGCTCCAGATCTTCTAGTCATCTCCCACAGGCAAGGCTACCTTCATAGATCAATAGTGACCTGTCACTCCTCTTTCCCAGGTACTACTTGCAGAGTTGGCATGTATTAGTGGACCCATCACCTTTGCTCTCTCCAAAGTCCACCATCAGCTGTCTCTTTGTGAATAACTGCAGCTTCCAGGGCACTGTGGGCCTACTGCTTTACCAGAGCGCAATTGTCAACTAGACCTTGATGTTCTCTGTTCCCTTCAACTATGCCACTCAAAAAATTGAGTTTGCCTTAGCTATTATAACTGAGCCAATCTCCAGAGACCTGGAGGGAGTCTTTGACATCATTCAGGCCAGTGAGTTGCCAGAGCTAAAAGGCAAAGAGTGATTTTCAAATGCCCCAGGAGACCCTAATGTTGAAACACAACTCCTTGATTATCAAAGCCATCCATGTGGCTAAAATGAATGTAGTGATTGAAACCAAAACATCTTAAAATTTTCTGTCATTCTATAACTGCTCATTTTATACCCCAAGTCTTACTCAGTTTTGTTCTGTAGGAGAGCCCTTAGCATAAATCATGGCCCATCTCTTTAGAGCAATTTAAAAAAAAAAAATGAACAACTCTGAGAAGACATGTTCTGTAAGTGCTTGGTCCTTTACCAACAGATTGATGGTGCATTTATTAGTCCCTCACCATTTCCTGCATCCTGTGTGACCTTGATGCATCCTTTATTTCTCTGCTTCCTAACTGTTGGTGTCTTGTATTCTCCCTTAACATTTTCCCTTCAATCTGATTCACATAGATACTTACCTTGCTTATCTTATCTGCTACCTCAGTGCCTTCTTCCTGCTAGCTTGCCTGTCCCACTCCCTTCATCTGTAACTCAGTGGTCATGCTTAAAGGATATTTTCCAATTTGGGTCTTGCTTCCATAATCTGCTCACTGTAAGAATGCAATAAAGTTTCTTCATTTGAGTGCCTCACTTTAATCGTCTGTGGAATAGATGTTCATTGGGGCTGTGCTCTGGTCCCAAAGTTTTCAAGAGGCATTCCTCATTTTTCCCCAAGCAAATGCTGTTTTTTGTTAAAGCATATTACTTTTTAGATGGCATTCAAGATAATAGGGTTCATCATGGAATTTTATATACTTAGATAATTATACTTTGCTAATATTTGTCCCCCATTGCCTTCTTTTTGCCTTCCTTCTTTCTCATTTGGGTCTTTTTCCTCCTTTCAGATAATCCCCTTCTGCTCTTGTATGTGTGCACAAACATGTATTTATTCTAAATTCTGCATATAAAAGAAGACATGTAATATTTGTCATTTTTTATCTCCCAAATATCCTCTTGTCTTCCATCTCTATGGAGTGCTTTCCATCCAGCAAATTTTCCCCCTTGCATTTGCATGACATATATCATATATAGAGATAAGAGAAAGATAGATAAATAGGTAAAGAGAAAGATGGTAGATAAGTAGGTAACAAATAGACGGTAGATATAAGGTAATTAGATTAGATATATAATTAGTAGACTGATGATAGATACAAGGTACATAAGATAAATAGATGATTAATATTGAATAGAATAAATAAATAGAGGAAAGGTATTAGGTAGATAGATAACTGTTAAACTTATGAAGTAAAACAAGATTCTTATCTTTTTGAGGCTGGTTTATTATGTTTAACATGGTGGGTTCCAGGTCTGTCCATTTCTCTATAAACAATGTAACTTCACTCTTCTCAATGACTCAATAAACCTGAAAGACTGCTGTGAGTTGAATTGTTTATTTCTCCCACAATGTTGATGCTATAACCTAATCCACTTGTGTATATATGACCTTAAAAGGAAATGAGGACTTTACAGATATGAACAAATTAAAATGAGATTATTTTGGGAGGGGTGGGCTCATCCATTATCACTATTATCATCACAGAAAGAAGGCTTGAATATGTAGACAGATGTGCACACAGATCCTGGGCTATGAGAACTTGAAGAAAGATGTGATAATCATGCTCACCAAGACAAGAGACACCAAGGATAATGAGTGATCAGTTGTCCCGATACTGACCTCTGAGGTGAAATGGTCTGGGCTCAGAATCCTGTGTGGCACTGGGTAATATCTTTTTAACCTCCTCCAGTTTCACCGAGGCCCTCAGTCTTTTCTCAGTCTGTGATCTTGGTTTTTTGAAGCATAAAGAGCATTTCTTCTACAGTTTTGATGGTCACCTCTGATTGAATTCAGAAAAATCCATGTGTTGGATACTGTGCCATATTTTTTTAAAAAGTGTGTGCTTATAGTTAGTGTTGTGTATGATGTATGTGCGTGTGTATGCATGGGTGCACATGCCTGTGCATATTCTTGTAGAGGCCAAAGGTGGACATCTTTTATCCTGCTCTATCATTTTTCACCTTATCCCTTTGAGACAGGGTCTCTTCACTGAACTTGGAGCCAGACTTGTGGCCTGCAAGCTCTGGTGATCCTCCTGTTTCTATACTCCTACAATACTGGGCTCATAGATGTTGATGAGGTGAAGCCTAACTTTTTGTGTGAGTGTTGGGATCATGTTTGCACAGCAAATGCTCTTACCCATCTTTTTATCTCCCTTAGTTCTTTTTTGCATCCTGTTGGAAGATACATCATTCTGATTGGTTAAATCACTCAGGGTAATTTACTTTGGTCATTTAAGATGTACCCGCCAGAGATCTTCCTTTTATATGAATCTCTTACCAGTTAATACTTCTAATGCTGCCTAGAATACTGCAAGGTCCTGTGTTTCATCACCAGGAAGGGAAAGAAGGAAGGAGAAAGGGGATTATGTATTTTGTATAGAGGTATTTAGAAGTAATTTACTTTTTGAAATACTTTACTTTCCACTTGTTAGTTTATATTGAAGAGAACTCCTAGTTTTGTTTGTTTGTTTGTTTGTTTGTTTTTGCTTTATCCTATAGAATTAATCACTATGGGTATTTATTTTCCCAACACAGTCATGGAACTCCATGATGTTGACCTCTGAGTACTTCTGACATGTTACATGACTTAACAGCCACATGCTATGATGCTTCCAAACAGGAGCCTAGCATAACTGTGCTGGACATGGATTCCACAACTCTTCAAGGGTCCTTGGTTCAGTTAAATGGATAATATTTGAAAGTCAAGACTGGGTATTGCAGGTGCTCAATACTAGTGTGTCACAACTTCTATGTCCTCTGAGTGGAGAGAGCTAAGGGCTGTACACAAGGCTTCTAGAAATACTGTGGTGGTTTGAATGGGAAATGTCCACCATAATCTCAGGCATTTGAACACTTGTCTCCAGTTTGTGGCACTTTTCTGGGGTTGTTTATGTGGTGTGTTCATTTTTCCTATTTGTTTGCTTGTTTATTTATTTATTCATTCATTGATTTTATATCTCCATTGCAGTACCCACCCCTTTAAGTCCCCTCCTCCCACAGCTCCTTCTCCATTCCTCTTTCTCCTATGAGAAGGGGGAGCACCTCCCTGGGTACAAACCCACCTTGACCCATCAAGTCTTTGCAGGGCTAGGTATATCCTTTCCCACTGAGACCAGACAAGGCAGCCCAGTTCGGGGAACAGGATCCACAGGCAGGAAACAGAGTCAGGAACAGCCCCCACTCCAGTTGTTGGGGAACCTCCATTAAGACCAAGCTGTACATCTGCTACATATGTGTGGGGGCCTAGGTCCAGCCCATGTATGCTCATTGATTATTGATTCAGTCTCTGGGAGACCCTAAGAGTCTAGGTTAGTTGACTCTGTTGACTCTTGTAGAGTCCTTATCACTTCTGGGTCCCTCAGTCCTTCCCCTACTTCTTCTTTAAGAATTTATGAGCTTGGTATGTTTGACTGTGGGTCTCTGCATCTGTTTAAATCAGCTGATAGGTAGAGTCTCTCAGAGGACAGTTATGTTAGGCTCTTGTCTGCAAGCATAACAGAACATCATTAATAGTGTCAGGAATTGGATCTTGCAGGCCACTGGAGGCATCACTTTGAAATTAAAGTGTCTCCCCTACTTCTAATTTGCTCTCTCTGTTTTGTACTTATAGACCAAGATGTGAACTCTTAGCTTCCCATTCCAGCTACCAAACTGTCTCTGCCATTATGGATTCTTAACTGTAAGCTTCAATAAAATCTTTCTTTTCTAAGTAACTATGGTTGTGTTGTTTTATCACAGCAATAGAAAAGTAACTAAGGCACAGAGTGAATGAAGTTGTGTGTTCATGTTGAAACCCATGAAGACATACCAGTATTTCTAATTACAGCCCTGAAATTCTTTGTGCTTTTTCTTCTATTAGCATCTCCCTTTTCCAACAGCAATAGACCTGCCTCCTGTTAGGTCATAGTTCTTCTAGTTGCATTCTTTCTCTCCTAGAAATCAGGCCCCACCCTCTAACTTTTGGACAGAGATGATTTTTTAAAAAAAAACCTCTAAGCTTACAGATCCTTACCTTTACAGTTATAAACAAGCCCAAGACAACCTAGAATTGTAGCTAGTTTTTATGAGTGCCTTTCTGAATTATGGCCATAGGCTTGGTCAGGTTACTGTGATGGTTAGTTTTTATTGTCAACCTGACAATAAAATCTAGAATTACCTGGAAAGGGGGAACCCTAACAGAACTGTCTTCATCAAATTGCCTTGTGGCTATGTCTGTGAGGAACCATCTTGATTGATGATTACTGTGGAAGGGACAAGCCCACTGTGAGTAGTACCAACCCTAGTAGGTGGTTCTGGCCTATATAAGAAAGCTAGCTGAACTTAAGCCATAAGCAAGCCCATAAGCAGCATTTCTTCATGGTTTCTACTTAAGTATCTGCCCTGATTCCATAAGGGATGGACAGTTACCTGAAAGGATAAGCCAAATAAACCCTAGTCTCCCTAAGTTGATTATGACCATGATGTTTTATCACAGCAAACTAGAACTGGTAAGTCATATGGTATAGAGCTTGTCTACTTCTTCACAAGACTTACTAGAGAATTTTTTTCTTTTGGATCCAAAGGTAACAGAGGGACCTAGAGATTCCCATATCTACTCCCCTTTCCTGGGCCCTCATGGCTGCCTATGGTCATGATGCTATACCTCTTCTAACTGTTCTTCTATTCAGGATTCATCATGGATGCCTGTTGTTATGATGCTATCTCTCCTACTGAGGGCTCTGTCTTGCATGCTTATAGCTATGAGCCCATTACTCTCCTAATACAGCCCCTTTGAAGGATAATCTCATACCTGCCCCTTTCTGTGAACTCATACTCCTTTCTAATAGCTCCTACTTCTCTAAATTCTCAATATAACTATTTTGTCTTCTTCATTGCCTTTCCACCCCCGTGGAGACACCCTTTTCACCCTAGTTTTGAACTAACACTCAACATCATACTATGTTCATGAGTAGACATTCTTCAGACTGTGTTGTGATGATATTCTATGCATCATCTACACCCTCTCATTTCCGGTGCCCATGTACTAGCCTGTTTTACATTACTGTAACAATGTGCCTGAAGCTAGGAACCAAATAGGAAAAATATGCTTATATAGCTCAAAAATATAGATGTTTGAAAGGATGGTATTCTTAGATAGGTATTGGTGAGAGCCTCCTCAGTTGCATCATCTGGTAGAAAGATAAAGGAGGGAGACATACCAGAGAGAGAAAGGAGGGGGGGGGGCAAGAGACATAGAGATAAAGAACAGTGGGTGTGGTGGTTTGAATGTGCTTAGCCTAGTGAGTGGCACTAGTAGGAGGTATCCCACTGGAGGAGTTTTGGCCTTGTTTGAGGACAAATGTCACTTTGCGGGTGAGCTTTGAGAGCTTCCCTCCTAGCTGCCTGAGGACAGTCTGCTCCTGGCTTCCTTTGGATGAAGATGTAGAACTCTCAGCTCCTTCAGCATCATGGCTGCCTGGACACTGTCATGCTTCCTACCAGGATGATAATGAACTGAACCTCTGAATCTGTAAGCCAGCCTCAATTAAAAGTTGTCTTTTATAAGAGTTGCTTTCGTCTTGATGTCTCTACAGAGCAATGGAAACCTTAACTAAGACAGTGAGACAGGAAATCAGACCCTGGGAAGTGGTCAGGGTCATTATTTTTTAAAGTAAAACTTTTTGAGAGAACTAAGATGGGTTCCCATGAAAAATGCCTTAATCTCTTACTAGGATATGACCCATAATGGCTTCCCATTGAGGACCAATTTTCCAACTCATGAATTCATGGAGCACATTGAAATCATGCCAAAGCCATAATATCTTCTGAGCAATGCTGTATTTATGTAGGGAATCTCCTCACCTCATTTGTTCTGGGAACTCTGTTTTCCATACCCATACCCATCATATCTGAATATTCTCACCACTTCTTGACTTTGATGCTGATAAGACTTCTCATCTTCCTTACATACCCAACTTTGCTCTTCTCCCATATGAACCGAGAAGGAACAGAAGGGGGAGCGGTGAGCAGAGGATGAACGACTGCCATGGCCTCCATTCCTATACATATTCATGTGTTAGAGTCAAATGTTATGTAGCAATTTTCTTCCGGAGGGGAGTAGATCTATAAGCCTCAGGAAGCTATCAAATCTATGAGATTCAGAAAGCTCATGAAACTTACAAGACCAAGGCAGCTCAAGCAATTACATGATTCACAAGGTTCCTCCCCAAAGTTATATAAGTATTAAGCAATTTCTAGATGTGAGAGTACTCTTCAGGGGAGCTGCCTGCAAGTTGTATAGGGATTTTCCAAAATACAGCATTCATGAGTCATTACCTATAATAGGCTTTTTAGTGATGGGTCATAATCGAACACTCATTCCTGTTGGCAACCCAAATGAACTCACTGGTTCACCAAGTCAGACTTGGGTTGGCTGCAAGTGCCTTATGTACAATAAACATGTATTTATGTCTCCTTAGGAGGTCACATAGCATCTAATATCAAATGGTTTCTTTTTATTTTTTATTCCTTCTTTGGCAAATTCATACATGTATACAATGTATACTGAGCACTTTCCTCTTTCTGTTCCTGTTGAACACCTCTTGATGCTTCCCTGTCTTCATATTATTCATTCTCTCTGTCTCTCTCTCTGTCTCTCTCTCTGTCTCTCTCTCTGTCTCTCTCTCTGTCTCTGTCTCTCTGTCTCTGTCTCTGTCTCTGTCTCTGTCTCTCTCTCTCTCTCTCTCTCTCTCTCTCTCTCTCTCTGTCTCCACTGCTAACTAATCTTGTTCAATTGATCTTGTGCAAGTCACCATAGGTGCAATGAGTGACTATTAGTGACTGAGTACAATGGTTGTGTCATGTTCAGAAGGCAAAATATCACAGCATGTTTCCCACACTTTGGTGCTTCCATTCTTTCACATATCCCCACTCCTTAATGTTTCCTGAGTCTTGAGGAAGGGGTTGATATCAATGTCCCATTTAGGACTGAGCACTCAACTAACACTTATACTCAGCACTTTGGCTGATTATTTTCTCTGCATTGACAGCTGCCTACTGTAGAGAAGCTTTTCTAGTCAACATTAAAAGCAGCACTAATTTATAGGTATAAACATAAGTATTTAGAACACAGTTTAATTTAGCAAAATACCTATTTAGTAAAAGAACAGTGTGTAAATTCCTCCAAAAAAAAAAAAGTACCTGTGACCTCTGGTATCAAGGGTTTTTACTTTCTGTTCCTTTGGGCACATGACTGATGACCACATTCATCCTTTTCATCTTTCACTCACCAAAGGTCAGGCTTAAATGAGTGTTCAAAATGCTTGTTGGTACAGCAAATGATTCATCCTAATCCCTATTTCAAAATGTACTATCCAATTCAATTCTGGGGATAAAAGAGTTTCAGAGGCCCACATTGGCTCCCCCTCCCATCTTACTCTAACCATAAATGGGAGGTAGGGAGAGCTCTGATCTCTCTGCTGTCTAAGTAGAGATTTTCCATGAGCTGTCACAGATCTGTCACAGGGACTGAGGGAGAGGCAAAGAGAGGCAGGGGGAGTTGGCAAAAGATTGAGACAATCAGGAAGCTGGGTTGCCTGCTGCAAGGGAGCAAGAAGGAGGGGCCATCTTGATATCAGAGCTTGGCGGACTCTACCTGCTCCAATGCAATTTCCCATGGGCCCTGCCTGCATCTTCTTGAGAAAAGGCATTGCTGAGAAGCAGCGGGTGAGGTGGGGATGGTGCAGGGAATGGTTAGAAGAGCAAGGGGATCTGGGGTGTGGGGAAAAGAAGGGCTGTGAAAATGCTGAGCAACAAAGGGAAGCAGGTGGAAATAGCATGAACTGAAGCTCAGGTAGCACTGTGTGGGAGTAAGGGTCAGTGATCAGAGGTCGGAAGCAGAGGGGGATAGTGGAGTGAGACAAATATCAAGAGGCGATAGTATGGAGCCATTGTTGATAGCATTATTGTTTCATATGGAAAATCATACACTAATGATGGTGATCATGGTAATGCTGCTGCTGCTTTGGCTGGTGATGATGACAATGCTGGTTCTGATGGTGTTGAGGAGGATGGTGATGACAATGATGATAGTGATGGTGATGGTGCTGCTGCTTCTGATGGTGATGATTATGATGATGGTAGTGATGATACTGATGATGGTATTTACAACAGCTACTGCTTATTAAGTCTTGTTAAGTGTCTAGCCCTGTGCAAAAGTGTTTATATGCTTAATGGCATTCAGTCTTCAGAGCAGCACATGAAGTTGGGTACAATTTCATTCCTATTTTACAAGGGAGTAAAATTGTAAACTGAGGCCACTAAGTCATGAAGTATTTTGTTTTAAGCCTGTACAGCCAATAAGTCTCTCTCTCTATCTATCTATCTATCTATCTATCTATCTATCTATCTATCTATCTATCATTAATTTTACTTACTCAGTCATGATGTTTGAGTCTCTGTAGCATGTTCTTCATTGTAAGGCTTTAAAAATCACCAGAGAGGGGAAGAAAAGAAAGGAGAGGTGAGAAGAGTAAGGGGAGAAGTCAGAAGGGAAGAAAAGAGGAAAGGACATAGGTCAGGGTGAGGCAAGACAGGGACGGGAAGACAAAAGAAAGGAAGGAAAATAAGGAAAGGAGAGATGGGAAAGAGAGATGAGGAAAAGTAAGAGGTTGCATGGGAAGAAAAGAAGAAAGAAAATCCAAAGTGAGATCTCTATGAATAAGGTTGATAAGAAGTAAATTACCAGGCACTATGCCTGCTAACAAAATTTACTCTCAGGTGTACCCATGATTAGGGAACAATGACTAGCAATTCCTAGATGTAAGACTGACACTGAATATTCTATGAAAACCCCTCTGAGTACTGGTTTCACACAAGGGTAAGCTCATTCCGGGAATGAGGATGGAGGTGCTACAGTCAGTGGGATGTAGCAGAAAGAATTTTGCATAGGAGTCAGGAGTCCTACATCCTAGTCTCATTCCTTTGTCGGATCTTTGGGTGACTTCAAAGGAGTATGCGTGTCATAAAGGCAGAAGAGGATATTATTTTGGGGAAGAAATGGGACCTTTAAGAGTGTAACATGGGCTAGATGTGGTGGTGCCAAAGTCAAAGAACAATGATGTAGGTGTGTGACAACATCTTGATGTAAAACGGTTTTTTTGGTGATAGCACAAATTCATTTTTAAAGGTTGAAGTGTCTAAGTATGTAACTTAGCTGGTAGAGTTTACCTAGCACATATGAGCCCCTAGATTCAATCCCCAGTACCATACAAAGTGGATGTGACTGGCAGATGGAGGCAGGAGGATCAGAAGTCCTTCTTAGCTCTTAGCCTGGCTATATGAGACTATCTCAATAAATAAGTAAATAATAGAATAAATAATTAGGGGCCAATGAAATGTATCAGAAGGTAAAGGGACCTGTTGCTAAATCTGATTACCTGAGTTCTATCTCCAGGTTTGTGGAAGGAGAGAATCAATTCCCTCAAATTGTCCTCTGATCACAAATACTTGACAAGTGCTTGCATGTCAAAAACAGTAAAACAAACAAACAAACAAACAAAATAAAAATATAACTAATTGATTTATCTCTCCCTTGAAAGGGGATATTCTATTTATGAGTCGTGTGACCTTTGGTAGGCTCATTAAATCTTTCTGTTCTTTAGCTTCTCATGGATAAGATAAGAATATTTGAGTCTACCTCAGTGATATGGTTCTGAGGTGTAAGTATAATGAAAGAACTCACACAGACATCCCTTTGAATATAGTAGATGAGACATATTGTACTTTCTTTATCTGAGTAACAAGTTCTGGTCCCAGGATGTTTAGGAAAGAAAGTTGGAGATTAGATGCAAGGATGGGAGACAAGAAATGAGTGGGGATGGGAGAGAAGACCTTGGAAAAGACCTGGGGATGGAGTTGTATTGGAGGAAGGAAGATGAAAGTTAGAGAAAGACTGAAGGATCAGAAAGCTTGATGGAACAATGGGCTTGTTTGTGGTGGTGGGGATTGTATTCCTGACTCTTTCAATCTCCTCTCCTGTGTTCTTTTCAGGAGAGACCACTGGGACAGGATGAGATTGATGGTAATTCCTTTCTCAGATGCCCTTCCATGTAGCCATCCATTACAGCCCTCCCTTCCTGCATTTTTGTGTAAATTACCCCCTGTGAAGATTCCTTTTCTCCTGTGTCCCTGATCAAATATAATCTGCACAGCTCATTTTAGGTTCTACTCCTTGAGTGTTAACAGGTGTCTGTCTCATTTTCATAAGTCACAGAGACTCAGAAATGATGCAAGTTTCAGAGTGATTTTTAAAAAGTTGCCTTTTTTGGGAGTTGTTTTTGAGATCCCTTGCAAGTTCACTCAAGAGTCTGAGGACTTCAGTGCTCATAGGGTCATTTTCTTGCTAGCACAGTTTTTAAATATCCCTGCTTTTTTAAAAAATGAAACATTTACTCATTAAATGTACTCTTTGTAGAATCTCTAGCTATGTCTCATTGATAGTTTCAAGGAATACCAATCTTCCCCAATGACTGTTTCAGGTTGCTCTAACAATTTTCTCTCTTAACTTTTAGAGCTCCGGGAAGCATTTCTTGAATTTGACAAGGACCGAGATGGGTTCATCTCTTACAAGGATTTGGGAAATCTCATGAGGACAATGGGTTACATGCCTACAGAGATGGAATTGACTGAGTTGGGCCAGCAAATCCGAATGAACCGTGAGGACAAGGGGCAGGAGGCATGCCCGGAGTTGGGGACAGGGTGGGAGTAAGAAAGATGGTTAGGTTGAGAGTTACACTTTAAATAGGAAGACGGTTAAGGGGCAGAGGCATATGCCAGAAAGCAGCTCAGACTATGCTTAGAGAGGCTGCATTTGAAGTAGTTAGAGATGGCTCTAGATACTAGTTGTATCTTTTATTATTAAAAATATTAAAGATTAAAAAAATCATGTGTATGAATGTTTTGCCTGCATGTATGTATGTTCACCAAGCATGTACCTGGCACCTTTCAGAAGCCAGAAGAGAGTGTCAGGTCCCTGGGAACTGGCGTTATACACAGATATGGGTTCTGAGAACTAAATCCAGGTCTTCTGCAGGAATAGGTAGTGAACTTAATAGTGGAGCTTTCCAGCTTCTCACATTGAAATTTTAAATTGTATTTATTTTGTGTGTTGAGGGAAGATGGGGGTACATGTGAATGTCACAGTATTTGGGTGCTGATCAGAGAACAATTTGAAAGAGTTGGCTTTTTCCTTTCACCATGTGGGTTCTGGGGCTCAAACTCAACGTCATCAAGTTGGGCAAGTCCGTTTTATCAGCTAAGTCATCTACCTGGCCCGTGAGTCCCACTCTCATTATCTACTTATTGTGGTCATTTTCAACAGTAGAATGCTTCTGGAATATTCCTGGTTTTCAGCTTCCCATCTATCAAATAAAGATATGATCATGGCTTACTTATTTATTGTGTTGTAGAAAGGAAGGAGTGCCGCTGTGGGAAAGGTCATATTCCCCATGAGCCCTTATTGAATGTGACTTTTTATCAGTAGAATTCTCTGTAGTGGGGCTTGATGGATGTTTAACATGAACCTGGACTTGGAGCCAGTGTCACTCAGTAGCATTGCTCAGGGATGCATCATTAAATGGAAATCAAAGTCAATTCTATGATTGAAGCCAGAATTAGGTTGGCTCCTGGGCATGGATCTGAGTTAACAAAATTTAATTTTATGTCATAATAGTAGTTAAGTCTCTGTCTATTGTTTCTATTATCTGCATGTTCAAACAAGTTCAACAGAAAATATTTAGAAAAGGAACTGTACCCACATTAAACATATAAGGACTTTCTGCCTCTGTTTCATAAATAATATAGCACAGCTGTTATTCATAGAGCATCTCAGTATAGTAGATAATCTAGAGGTGACTAGAACTGCAAGTGCAAGATACACACATTATGCCACTTATGACAGGTACTTGAGCACTGACTTGCTTTGATATGCCATGGGTGTCCTGGAACAAATCTTCAATGGACACAAAGGGATGACTAATCATACCTGAAAGAGACTGGTCTACATTTAAATCTATATTTCTTCTATTGGTTTGTAGATGAGGGGTGTATAAGCTTTAAACCAATAAGATATTTGCTAAGTGAGTCTGGACTCAGTTTTTAAGAGTGTCTACTGCATTTGCAAAGGACCTGAGTTTGATCCCAGCATCCATATTGGGCAGCTCAGCCATCTGTAACTCCCTGTCCAGGAGAATCTGATGCCCTCTTCTGGCCTCTGAGGTAACTGCATTTATGTACACACACACACACACACACACAGAGACAGAGAGAGAGAGAGAGAGAGAGAGAGAGAGAGAGAGAGAGAGAGAGAGAGAGAGAGA